GTATGGACCAGTATGGACTGATATAAACCAGTATGGGCCAGTATGGACCAGTATGGACCAGTATGGACCGGTATGGGCCAGTTTGGACCAGTATGGACCAGTACGGACTGGTATGGACCGGTATGGACCAGTATGGACCAGTATGGACCGGTATAAACCAGTGTGGGCCAGTATAAACCAGTATGGACTGATATAAACCAGTATGAACCAGTATGGACCGGTATAAACCAGTGTGGGCCAGTATGGACCAGCATGGACCAGTACACACCAGTATGGACCATCATAGACCAATCTGGACCAGTTTGGACCAGTATAAACCAGTATGGACCACTATGGACCAGTATGGACTGATATAAACCGGTGTAAACCAGTGTGGACCAGTACGGACCAGTATAAACCGGTATGGACCGGTATGGGCCAGTTTGGACCAGTATGGACCGGTATGGATCAGTATGGACCGATATAAACCAGTGTAAACCAGTATGGACCAGTATGGACCGGTATAGACCAGTATGGACCGATATAAACCAGTGTGCGCCAGTATAAACCAGTATGGACCGGTATTGACCAGTGTAAACCAGTGCAAACCAGTACGTACCGGTATGGACCAGTATGGACTGATATAAACCAGTGTGGGCCAGTATAAACCAGTATGGGCCAGTACAGACTGATATAAACCAGAGTAAACCAGTTTGGACCAGTTTAGACCGGTATGGACTGGTACAAACCAATGTAAACCAGTATAGACTGATATAAACCAGTGTGGGCCAGTATAAACCAGTACGGACCAGTATAAACCAGTATGGGCTGATATAAACTGGTATAGACCAGTATGGACTGGTATAAACCAGTGTAAACCAGCATGGGCCAGTATAGGCCAGTATGGACCAGTATAAACCACTATGGACTGATACAAACCAGTGTAAACCAGTACGGACCAGTATGGACCAGTATAAACCAGTATGGACTGATATAGACCAGTATGGACCAGTATGGACCAGTATGGACTGATACAAACCAGTATAAACCAGTATGGACCAGTATGGGCCAGTATGGATCAGTATGGACCAGTATGGGCCAGTATGGACTGATATAAACCAGTATGAACCAGTACGGACCAGTATGGACCAGTATGGGCCAAGATGATGCTGGGATGACTCCGGGACCCCCAAAGTGACCACAAATTGAGCCCGGGACCCCCAAAATGACCCCTAAAGTGACCCCAGGACCCCCAAAGTGACCCCGAAATTGACCCCAGGACCCCCAAATTGAGCCCAAATTGAGCCCGAGACCCCCAAATTGACCCCAAATGACCCCAGGACCCCTAAAGTGACCCCAAGACCCCCAAAATTGCCCCAAATTGACCCCAAATTGTCCCCAGGACCCCCAAAGTGACCCCAGGGTGACCCCAGGACCCCCAAATTGACCCCAAATTGACCCCAAATTGACCCCGGGAACCCCAAAATTACCCCAAATTGATCCCAGGACCCCCGAAGTGACCCCGAAATTGACGCCGGGACCCCCAAATTGTCCCCAGGACCCCCAAAGTGACCCCAGGGTGACCCCAGGACCGCCAAAATTGCCCCAAATTGACCCCAGAACCCCCAAATTGTCCCCAGGACCCCCAAATTGACCCCAGGCTGACCCCGGTACCCCTAAAATGACCCCAGATTGACCCCAAGACCCCCAAATGAACCCAAATTGACCCCAAATTGACCTCAAGAGCCCTAAAGTGACCCCACGGTGACCCCAGGACCCCCAAAATGACCCCAGGACCCCCAAATTGAGCCCAAATTGACTCCAAAACCCCCAAAGTGACCCTAAATTGACCCCGGGACCCCTAAAGTGACCCCAGGACCCCCAAAATTGCCCCAAGATGACCCTGGGACCCTTAAAGTGACCCCAAATTGTCCCCAGGACCCCCAAATTGACCCCAAACCGCCCGAGGCGGGGCCGGGCCCGGGCGGGGCCGCGGCCGCCGGTGAGAGGGGGCGGAGCCACAGGAGGATGGGCGGGGTTTAACCAGAGGGGGCGTGGCCTGCAGCGGGCGGGGAAAACCCCCCTGGGGGGGCGTGGCGTGGTGGGCGTGGCCAAACCGGGCGCGGCCCTGAGCGCTCCCTTCCCATTGGCAGGCGGCGCGGGGGCGGGTCCGGGCGAGGCCCCGCCCCCTTACTCGCCACTGGGCAGCCCCGAGGCGGCGGGGGCGGGGCCTCCGGCGGTCACGTGCCGCGTCTGCCAGCGGCCAATCAGCGTCGAGGGGAAGACGCACCAGCACGTGGTGAAGTGCGGGGGGTGTGGCGAGGCCACGGTAAGGGGGCGTGGCCTCGGAGTGGGCGGGGCGTGGCTTGGGTGCGGCCCGGCCTGGTTGGCGCGCGCTGAAAGGGGGAGGAGTTTAATGCGCCCGGGGGGCGGGGTTTGCGGCTCCGGTGGGCGTGTCCCGCTGAGGCCACGCCCCCCCACCGGCGGCGGCAGCCAATCAGGACGGCCCCCAGCGGGAAGAAGTACGTGAGGTGCCCGTGCAACTGCCTGCTGGTGTGCCGCGCCTCGGCCCAGCGCATCGCCTGCCCCCGGCCGTACTGGTGAGACTGGGGGGCACTGGGGGGGACTGGGGGCAATCAGGACGGCCCCCAGCGGGAAGAAGTACGTGAGGTGCCCGTGCAACTGCCTGCTGGTGTGCCGCGCCTCGGCCCAGCGCATCGCCTGCCCCCGGCCGTACTGGTGAGACTGGGAGGGACTGGGGGGGACTGGGAGGGGATTGGGGGGGACTGGGGTCCCAACTGAGCAGATTTTTGGGGCCAAACCGAGCCAGTTTGGGACCCTGATTGAACCAGTTTTGGGGTGAAGTCAAACCAGTTTGGGGTCTGGGTGGAGCCGTTTCTGGAGCCAAATGGAGCCACTTTGGGTCCAAACGGAGCCGCTTTGGGGCCAAACTGAGCCACTTTGGGTCCAAACCGAGCCGGTTTGGGTCCAAACCGAGCCACTTTGGGTCCAAACGGAGCAGGTTTGGGTCCAAACCGAGCCACTTTGGGTCCAAACCGAGCCGGTTTGGGTCCAAACGGAGCCAGTTTTGGGTCCAAACCGAGCCGGTTTGGGTCCAAACGGAGCCAGTTTTGGGTCCAAACCGAGCCGGTTTGGGTCCAAACCGAGCCACTTTGGGTCCAAACCGAGCCGGTTTGGGTCCAAACGGAGCCAGTTTTGGGTCCAAACGGAGCCGGTTTGGGTCCAAACCGAGCCACTTTGGGTCCAAACCGAGCCGGTTTGGGTCCAAACGGAGCCAGTTTTGGGTCCAAACGGAGCCGGTTTGGGTCCAAACCGAGCCACTTTGGGTCCAAACCGAGCCGGTTTGGGTCCAAACGGAGCCAGTTTTGGGTCCAAACGGAGCCGGTTTGGGTCCAAACCGAGCCACTTTGGGTCCAAACCGAGCCGGTTTGGGTCCAAACGGAGCCAGTTTTGGGTCCAAACGGAGCCGGTTTGGGTCCAAACCGAGCCACTTTGGGTCCAAACCGAGCCGGTTTGGGTCCAAACGGAGCCAGTTTTGGGTCCAAACGGAGCCGGTTTGGGTCCAAACCGAGCCACTTTGGGTCCAAACCGAGCCGGTTTGGGTCCAAACGGAGCCAGTTTTGGGTCCAAACGGAGCCGGTTTGGGTCCAAACCGAGCCACTTTGGGTCCAAACCGAGCCGGTTTGGGTCCAAACGGAGCCAGTTTTGGGTCCAAACGGAGCCGGTTTGGGTCCAAACCGAGCCACTTTGGGTCCAAACCGAGCCGGTTTGGGTCCAAACGGAGCCAGTTTTGGGTCCAAACGGAGCCGGTTTGGGTCCAAACCGAGCCACTTTGGGTCCAAACCGAGCCGGTTTGGGTCCAAACGGAGCCAGTTTTGGGTCCAAACGGAGCCGGTTTGGGTCCAAACCGAGCCACTTTGGGTCCAAACCGAGCCGGTTTGGGTCCAAACGGAGCCAGTTTTGGGTCCAAACGGAGCCGGTTTGGGTCCAAACCGAGCCACTTTGGGTCCAAACCGAGCCGGTTTGGGTCCAAACGGAGCCAGTTTTGGGTCCAAACGGAGCCGGTTTGGGTCCAAACCGAGCCACTTTGGGTCCAAACCGAGCCGGTTTGGGTCCAAACGGAGCCAGTTTTGGGTCCAAACGGAGCCGGTTTGGGTCCAAACCGAGCCACTTTGGGTCCAAACCGAGCCGGTTTGGGTCCAAACGGAGCCAGTTTTGGGTCCAAACGGAGCCGGTTTGGGTCCAAACCGAGCCACTTTGGGTCCAAACCGAGCCGGTTTGGGTCCAAACGGAGCCAGTTTTGGGTCCAAACGGAGCCGGTTTGGGTCCAAACCGAGCCACTTTGGGTCCAAACCGAGCCGGTTTGGGTCCAAACGGAGCCAGTTTTGGGTCCAAACGGAGCCGGTTTGGGTCCAAACCGAGCCACTTTGGGTCCAAACCGTACTGGTTTGTACTGGGAGGTTCCCCAGTCCATACTGGTTTGTACTGGGAGGTTCCCAGTCCATACTGGTCTGTACTGGGAGGTTCCCAGTCCATACTGGTTTGTACTGGGAGGTTCCCAGTCCATACTGGTTTATACTGGGAGGTTCCCAGTCCATACTGGTCTGTACTGGGAGGTTCCCAGTCCATACTGGTTTGTACTGGGACGTTCTCCAGTCCATACTGGTTTATACTGGGAGGTTCCCAGTCCATACTGGTTTGTACTGGGAGGTTCCCAGTCCATACTGGTTTATACTGGGAGGTTCCCAGTCCATACTGGTCTGTACTGGGAGGTTCCCAGTCCATACTGGTCTGTACTGGGAGGTTCCCAGTCCATACTGGTTTATACTGGGAGGTTCCCAGTCCATACTGGTTTATACTGGGAGGTTCCCAGTCCATACTGGTTTATACTGGGAGGTTCCCAGTCCATACTGGTTTATACTGGGAGGTTCCCAGTCCATACTGGTTTATACTGGGAGGTTCCCAGTCCATAGCGGCCCCGGGCTGGCCCCGCCCCCTCCCAGTATAACCCAGTTCTCCCAGTAAGAGGATCATCAACCTGGGCCCGGTGCAGACGGGCGCGCCCAGCCCTGACCCCGCCCCCGGGGGCGTGCGCGTGGCCTGCGCCCACTGCGGGGGGCCCTTCCTGGTGAGCCCCGCCCCTTTTGGCCACGCCCACCTCATTGTGCATGCTTGGCCACGCCCCCTTCATCATCACACCTCCTTTTGTAACCGTACCCCCTTTGTGGCCACGCCCCCTTTCCCCTCATTGGCTCCACTGCTGGGGGCCCTTCCTGGTGAGCCCCGCCCCTTTTGGCCACGCCCACCTCGTTATGCATGCTTGGCCACGCCCCCTTCCTGACCACGCCCCCTTCCTGGCTCCACTGCACCCGCCCCTTCCTGCCGAGCCACACCCCCAAGAATTAAGCCCCACCCCTTTAAACCACACCTGTTGAAGCCACTCCCACTTAAAGCCCCACCCATTAAAGCCCCTCCCACTGTAGCCCCACCCATTAAAGCCACTCCCCTTTAAACCACACCCACTTTAGCCCCACCCATTAAGCCACTCCCCTTTAAACCACACCCACTTTAGGCCCACCCATTAAAGCCCCTCCCCCTTTAAACCACACCTCTTTAGCCCCACCCATTAAAGCCACTCCCCCT